GGTTTAACCCTGTACTAGATTCTGAGACTGTTACTTTCCACAAGTCAAAAGCATCCACCATTTAATGCATTGCCATGGACCTTATGCAACGTTTAGCATGGGACCAAATTCACAAAACTGTTAAATAAAGTTAATTAAGCAGTAAAGAACCCGCAAGCTTGGATTAAGGAGAAATGGAGTTCAGATGCCCGAAAGAAAGACTTTAGGATGCTGATGAGGCAAAGACACAATTCATGATTTGTTTAAAGATTAACCTCAAGACTCCTTTCCCACCTGCGGACCACAGGCTCCAGCTGGGCGCAGGCTCACTGTACCTGGTGCTGAGTTTTCATGGCAGGCTGTCTACTGTCTCTAAGCACCTACCAGGCTAATCTACACCTGCTCGGCTCATCATGTGTACCCAGTATTTGAAGCAAAGTGGGGGAAAAGGGAACAATTTGAGTCAAACATAAGTTCGTGCTAATGTAGGTGCTTGGCAGTGCAAACATGGTTTCAGCAATCAGACAATTATAGTCATGTCTTCCAACAACAGACACCATTGTATCTCCCAAGCTCACTCGCTTTTTTCTCTGCAACGTAATCTATTCCCACGCCTTCAGTATTTGCATACCTCTAAGTCTCCTCCTGTGCTTGAATGTCCTCATTCATATTTCCTGGACCTGGGCTCCCCTTTTTATTATCTTGTGGGATGCTACTCTCTACCCAAGAAATCTGAAGTCGTTCTCAACAAGCCCTCTACGACACCAGCGACCCGCAGCTCTTTCTTTTCCTCACTAGCATGATTATGATAGAAGGTCAGACAATAACAAATACTGCCCAAAACACCAAGAGACACAACATCCGGGCACAAATCCTCTACAACCACTGAGCTGTGCAATTACAGCGGAAGTATTTCCATACTGAGAGAGCCTTTAGGAAAAAATATTACTTAGAAAACTACTATCGAACAAGCATGTGGCTTTAGAGTTTGTAATGTTTATTGATTTCCATAGTCAAGCATTTACCTATTGGTCACCGCTGATGCTCAAATTCCTACTTCCTTCACCTTTCTTAAAGGTTTTATTTAGTTTACCCTCTCACAGACTAAGATTAGCTATGCTGTTACTGCCATTACTTTATGGCCTTAGTACAGAACCACGATATTTTCTTTTTGATTGGATTTTAAGACCTGCTCCATGAGATGGAGGCTGTATCTGACACTGTCAGTGAACACAAGGACCTGTGGCTAGATGAGCTATGGGTCCCAGGGGAAAACCTACCACCATTATTCTGTTGAATGGACGTAGCAATAAAATAACTCCTAATGACTTACTGCCACACCCATAGATTAGAGCATTGCTCAGCTCTCCTGACAGCAGCTCCTTGTTCCGATGGAGAGCCATCAGCAGGCACCCACAGCTGGCAAACACGTAGAAGAAAAAGAAAAAGAGGATACAAAGTGTGCTCAACCCTAATTCAGAGGTTTATACCACACCCTTCCCCACAATGCCCAGGGATCTACATGGAAGAAGGGGCAGAAACATCCTGGAGCCAAAGAGGGTGGGTGACATCAGGGCAGAGGACATATCAACCCCACAGGGACTGTATGTAACAACACACAAGGCCTACAAATGTTCCAGCCAGCCACAACTCAGCAGAAAGGGGAGCAGGTTAGCCTGAAGCCCCCACATCCAGCTGAGAAGCTACTGTTACCTGATTGCTGCTTGGAGAAAAAAAGTAAATTTTCTACCATGGAGGGACACACACCCAGGAGTAGCTGGCCAAAGGAAAAAAAAATAGAGTAGATGGATTTTAAGGTCTATATAGAGTGGGGATGAGAGGACTTGGTGGGTAGGGAGGTGGGGAGGATGGGGGGGATTTGGGGAGGGGTTGAATATGGTGTAAAAGGAACTGCGGGCTATGTCCTGCCACCCGACTCCCGGCTAGCTTTATTTGAAATAATTACACAGAAACTGTATTAATTTAAACACTGCCTGGCCCATTATTTATAGCCTCTTATTGGCTAACTCTCACATCTTGATTAACCCATTTCTAATGATCTGTGTAGCACCACGAGGTCGTGGCTTACCGGGAGGATTCTAACCTGCGGCTGTCTCAGAGAGGAGAGTCATGGCGTCTGCCTGCCTCTGCTTTCTTTCTCCCAGTATTCTGTTCTGTCTATTCCACCCACCTAAGGGCTGGTCTATCAAAAAGGCCAAGGCAGTCTCTTTATTAACCAATGAAAGTAACAATAGACAGATAACCCTCCTCCATCATTTCCCCTTTTTCTGTGTAAACAAAAAAGAAAGGCTTTCACTTTAACACAGTAAAATTGCATATAACAAAACAGTTATCAAGCAAGAATTATAGTTACAATATTTATATCTACTTTATCTTTTATCATAACTAAGGAAAACTATAAGTAACCATTCTTCAACTCCATCAAAGACTCCAGAAGGATATAATACTACCTAAGTAAACAAGAAATAAGCAACTTTCAAATTCTAGAAATGACAGAGACATCTCGCTGCCTGTACAGTCACCCAAAGTTCTTTTGTACCGTTGGGGCATCCATCTTCAGCCTTCAGGCCCATAGTATCCAGCAGACTTTTCCGCCGATCCTTTTGCAACAATATGGTTAAAATACATTGTATCAAATTCTCAGAGAAAAACATAGTTTTAAAATGTGGAAAGAAAGCGAAGAAGATACCTGACTCTGGCCTTCATGTGCACACCTGTATGTGCACACACACACACACACACACACACACACACACACGGTAGGGGAATAACTTCAGAATGAAGAGACCACTCTCAACCCTCAACCCCCATGCGTTCTTCCATTTGTTTCCCAGCTCCAATGTACGGCGTTCTCTGAACGGGAAATTCAAACGTGAACTATTATAAACTATGTGCTTAATTTAAAATGAAAGGAGCACTATATGGCATAAAGATGAATTTCATCACCAGGCTGGTTCAGCTTGATGTTTTATTTCCCTATATGAGACCAAAGGCATCCATAGACCTTCTGAGACTTCTGCCTGGAAGCCACACTTAGTCAGAATTCTCTTGCCACTGCCCTGTTCCTGCTCTCTAGTTCTGATGGATTCTTTACTTTCCTGATGTCTTTAGTGAAGGAGAGATTTATGTAAACAGCAGGAGCTCACATAGTTAAGGAGAGATTTATGTAAACAGCAGGAGCTCACACAAGAAATACATACCAAGAAAAAAAAAGGAAAATGAAATACGTCCTAGGAATGGTGATTCTGCAGGTGACCCTGAGCATAGGAGGGATGCTCACTCTTCCTCTTTCTTAAGCATGTGCACATTCTTTCTTAGAATTGCCCCTGAGCACACATAACAGATCCAACATGGCACAGTCATCACGGTAAGGCCAGGATAATGTTAAATGGTGATCAGCCAGTAACTTGGTAAACTTCAAGCACTTGCTATGTGGGAGCTCTGGTCCCCACAAAGCCAACTGTGACAGGAGCAGACAGACTTTACAGCAAGGCAACAAGGATACTGCATTGCTCAGAGAAGTGGGCTGGTTAGCAGGGATGCTCAAGAGTCCATAAAGATGCAGGCCTCTAAACCAGGTGTTAAATCTAAGCAAGACATTTGGGATTCACGATGGCAAGATACAACACTTTCTGCGACTATCATTCTCTTTCAGAAACAAAGACAAAAGGGGGGGGGGCAAAGGCAGAAATTCTGTCTCTCATAAACCTAAGACATTGCCCACGTATGGAAAAGAATATGATGGTAGGAGATGGTAAGAATTACCGATGTATGCTAGGAAAATGCACTCACAGGACATTACTTATCTCACCAACAGAGGATTTCTGTACAGTCAAAAACATGAAGCATACGTAATCTGAAACTCGGAGGCTAGGGAGAGGTAAGAAAAATGCCGGAGAGATGGGATGCTAAAGTCCTTAAGGTAGGCATCAAAGACAATGCCCAGCGCACTGAATGCCAGGCACCGCTGCATGTGCATTACTGACTTTTTAAATATGTATGCATGTTAGAGGGATCTAGTTCACAACAAGAGAAAGAACACACTGAGAAGCTGAAAAGTGTTAGACAAAGTCATTCAACACAGGAAGGATACAATCCAAAACCCACACCCTCTACTGATCCTACCATTGCACACAAGCCCAGTTCCAACACACAAACTCAACCACCTCCACCAGTCAAACTGGCAATATTTTTAAGTAAAATACACAGATAGAGGCGTGTTTCATAGACATGGGAGTGTAACTCACAAGAAATCCTATAATATAGTTTGTCATTATATCTGAGTGCAACACTTGGTTCAACCTTAGAAGTATATGCCCACTTTTGTGACCCTAAATTCTACTGGAGAGTTTTGTCCTATGGAAGTAACACAGTTATACAGGGATTTACAAATGTCCAGGGTGCTCACTAAAACACCAATTAAATTACTGAAACCTTAGAAATGACAGGATGTCCCCTAGAAAGGAAAATACGGAAGCTACTCTATAGAACGCCACACAGCTATGAAGAATGCTTCACAGGGAGACATGTGCAACCATGCAGGAAGCTGGGGAAGATTCTAAGAAGAAAGGACAAGAACACAAAGCAGGAACTGAGCAAGAGCAGATCAAGTCCTGAGACGGCAAGTGAGGTTTCTCTGCCTCGGTGTTTTCAAAAAGATGCAGTAGACAAGGAGCAAATCCCCAGGACAGAGGCTGTCACACCCACCGATTAACCTGCTCACCTAGGCCGTCCCATCTGATGGTAAGAACATCACGTTTTGGAGCCAAAAACTAGAGATTCAATACCCAAAGTCTGGTTTTTCATGTACTCCATGAACCAACTTTGAATGTGAACCTTAGGTGCAGTGACGTGAGCGATAGTAACATCATGCCATAGTTCTACCCTTAGGTCCAGTGACGTGAGCGATAGTAACATCATGCCATAGTTCTACCCTTAGGTCCAGTGACGTGAGAGATAGTAACATCACCCCATAGTTCTGGTGTGAAAGTGAAACTGAACTGGAGGGAAATCCTGTGTTCAGCACTCCTATCAGCACATACTGAGAAAAAGAAAACAGCATTTTCCTGCTACGTTACACTGCTAAGCCAAACGAGTAAGTTTTCAAGGGTTTGAAAGCGGGAGAGGGCCATGGAGATTTGCACAGTGCCCACTTCTACGCCACGGTGTACTGAGCATACTGGCTGGGAAGGGAAGAGACGGCCATGTCTGTAAGGGTCACCTCAGGCTTGCCACCTCAGCTAGCAGGACGTAGCCAGCAGGCCTTCGCTCGGTCTCAGGCAGCCTTCTGCTTTACCAGACCTTCTGTTTTCTAGTTCAGTTATAAGACAGCAGGAGGAGACTGTCCCGACATTCCTAAACAACTTGAGCAGGAAAGGGAGAGAGAAAGAACACGGGGCAGGGTGGGGAGTGGAGACAGCCTGGGATGAGCTAGAGGAGGGGAAAAATTTTCATACAGACAAACAAACAACAACAATACCCGTGACCTGATTACCAGCAGTGAGAAACTAGGCCTCATCCAATAGTTTGGATCTGTCGTGTCTTCTGTTACAGTTTGATATGAGCCCTTGTGTTTGGACCCATCCACAGGTTAATTAACGCGAGGCGTACCTACATCCTGATGCTCTCTTAACAATGCTATTTGAGAGAAAACAATGAAGGAAAAGATTAAGTGTCTGGAAGGATCTAGAATTCTAGGCGCTCTCTAGAAGAAGGCACCATACCGCAGCTCTGTGGTAAGCTCAGTATTCCATAACCTAATGAAACTTTTAGTGAGGTTTATCGTATAGGTGAGGCTCGCAGGGTTTTAGCAGAATAAAGGGAACATTAATAAGGTAAAATCCTGCTCGTTCTGTATTCCTCAGCAGCTCACGTGACTCCTGAATGCTGTTGTCCCGACAGCCACGAGGGCCGGCTTGGTCGCCACCAGGACTGCCTCATCCTCAAATGCAGGTTTGACTTACTGAACATCTGTTGTTTGCTAACGTGCTTTACTGACTTTCTAGGAACATGATAAACTAAGATTGCAGAAAGACCACTTCTGTCTTTCAAAAGCTTCAAAAATGTATTTAAAGTTATCAACAGCACAGTGATCATTGGGCGGTAGGTTTTCCAGCCCTCTTCATGAGACGAAATTTTCCTTTCCAAAGAGAATAAGCAAGAACAGGATAAGTGAAAACATTTGCTCATTTTCTGGGGCAAACTTACTACGTGTGGGGCAACCAATTAAGAAATGTAGAAGATTCTACTCCTGGAGGCTGTCTCTGAAATTCTGTCCTTGAAGATGAGGATGGGGACAGATGCAAGGCTGCTTCAGAGTCTTTAATTTCCTAATTTAGTTGCACCAAAGAAGAAAAAAAAAAACCAGCTCTGCACAGTCAACTGTATACAGGACACCAGACCGGGATGAAACGGAACACATTTCAAACTCAGTTCCTACTAAAGATGACGGCCATGGTGAGATCAGCCACTAGAGGGCGATAATTTTGCTTCCCGATCCTGACTTGAATGTGCTTCAGGTTCAAATCATGTTGCCTATTTTAGTTCAAATTCTCAGGGAACTGCATATTTAAGTGGGCATTTCGTTAAAACCGTAAAATAATGGTGCATATGCTCTTTGAATAAAAAAAAAATGACTATCCCGTAAAGAATCCATGTTAAACAAAATGAGAAAGCATGGTCAACCCAAAGATGTGTCTTTCCTGAAGTTGGGGTATTTGGGGCCTCCCTGCACACAACATCTTCGTTTAACAAAAGGATTCATATTAAAATTTAATAACCTAATTTTTAAGAGTGAACTTAGAACCAGTGCCTTATAAAGTTAACTATTTTCCACTCAGGGGAAAAACGTGAGAACTTTCACTAGGTGATCTAAGTGCCAACACTAAGCTCTTGTGCAGAGCAGGCTGGTGACCTTTCAACACTTGAAAGGTTACAGTCGACCCACAGTGCTCAGTCAAGATCTGATGAACTGCAGCTAGGAACCAAACACAAGTGAGCGGGGACAAGAGTTTAGTTATAAGAAATTATCAAACGCAAGTATATTACAGAAGTGAGGGAGTAATAAAAACACTGAGACAACATAATAAAAGCTGTGTCTTAAAGGGAAGTGTTGTAATGTTAAAAAGGAAGCTCACTCTAATAACTAGAAACAAAAAAACATTAAACGTTATAGCGAATGAAAACTGAGCTCGTGAACTTCCCAGAGAAAACAGGTTTTGTCCTTACGTGACACCGTACAAACAGGTGACTTAATACTCGCACGGAGCTTCAGATCTCTTTGCCCATGGACATAAAATCTGAGATACACCCATTTTACCTCACGCTGAGTGAGTATTGCTAGTAATGAAAACAGAGAACAGACACTTGAAAGCCTCTCAGACTTTAACCATCAGTAACAAAGTCAGACGGAGCAAACACGTTTTAATAAAGAAAACCATTCTACAAAACAGCAAAAAGCAAAGCCCCGGGAGCCAGGGTCCTCAGAACTGCCCGGCAGGAAACCGCTGAGTCGGCGGTATTTGAGGCCCATACACTGTACCGTAAAACTTCCAAATTCTCGTCGGACTACTTACACACAAACATCTTCTCTCAGTGCTAATTTAAAAGTCGAGATATGAGGGACTAGGACAGGTGAAAATTCTTAAAGGAGATTAAAATTCACAAATAACGAAACTTTTAAGCTAGTAACCAGTTGGAAGCGTAGTATAAATCTTAAAATGTTATTTTTCTGGTTTGCTAGTATGATAGCTAAGTCAAATTTTAAGCAAAATGCACACTACTGATAGCCTGAAAGTGTCCCTAAAACTATTTATAAAAAAACAAAACAAAACACAACAACAACTGGGCAATGGTAACTTGTAGAAACACCAAGATAATCATGAATGAAAGCAGCAATACAGCCATCTCCTACATGGAAACCTGTCTCATTCTTGGGGAAAAGGATTTAAATGCATTTCCCATCTCACACAGAAGACTGCAATCACCCTGTTAAAACTGGGAAATGAATTAATTACAGGTAGATACTGAGAATAATTTATAAGTCCGGTTCTTTTTCTTCTTCCTTTTTTTCTTTATGATCTTATAGGCCCTAAAACTACTCCAAAAGGAAGTGGACAGATTCGCCAAAGAGTGGGTAAGAAGGCCACCAAGCCACGGGGGCACCTGTCCACTGCACACTCCAACCTGCTACCGACTCTGCTCTTATACTGAGCCCGGCACACTTGCTGCCTAGCAAGTCAACGAGACAGCGAGACAGTGGAACAGAAAGCTAGCTGCTAGGAACAGAAAGGAATGCCTTCAGAGGCCAGGACCCCCTCTTTCAAACCTGCACGTGTTTAGTTAGCGCTTCCCAGCACCTCAACTCCGCGAGCTGCCTGCCAGGGACCCTACACGTCCTCTAAAGCTCACCAAGGTGGCGATCTGGAGTGGAGGAGGATTTCAGGACAGGCTTAGCAATTAGCTAAATAATCCAGAGCGGCACTAGGTAGGTCAGACCTGTCAAAGAATGGGGCCAGCCAAGGTCACCGAGCTACGAGGGTGCGGTGCCCGGTGAGGGGATGGATTTTTAAATGCACCGACCGGACCCGGTTCCCGGTTGGCAGCCAGCGTGGAGACCTCCCGCCCCCGCCGAGCGCCCGGGCCCGCCGTCACTCACGTTTTCTGCACCGGCTTGCGCCGCTTGCGGCTGGCATAGGTGATGTTGGCGCCGCTGCTCATGGTGCCCGCGCCCTGCCCGCTCC